GCTGTAAATGGATCGGATATGGATCCGATCCGATAAGAAAATTATCTGATCTGATCCGATCCGATCCAACGGATATTTGATTATTAAATCTATATCTGATTTACTATATTATCGGATATCCGATCCGATAATTCGATTCGAAATTAATAAAAATTAGGAAAAAAATCAATATTCTTTAAAAAAATTTGAACTAACTTAAGGCCTACCTTTTTTTACTAGTAAACCCAATAGTGACTTGTATTATCATGATATTCATTTTTAAAGGAGAAATTCTCTTCTAATTTTCTATTGACATTCGATGTGGGATAAAGTAAAATTCAATTTCATTTCTAAATATAAATATTTTATTTCATTATTTCCATTAACAAATCATATTATTTATTACACATTAATTATTAGTTTTTGAAATTGTAAAATAAATTACAATAATTAATTTAATTAAGAAAAATATAGATATTTAGTTACTTTAAATTAGTAAACTAAAAAAAAAAATTTATTGTTTTTATAANTCAATTTGACAACCGGTTCGATACCAATTCAACCCCAATTCGACTTTTTGACTCTTGACCCTCTTCCTTTTTTGGGTCGATGCTCGGGTCGATTTTTAACACATTGGTTGAAATTAACTTTTTTTTTTTCAAAATTTTCAATTCTTAATCAGGTTTAATAATTATAAAATTTTCAACTTTTTATGTTTTGAATTTGATTACTTTTTTATTCTAAATTTATTTAGTTTCTCATTTATTTATTTTAGTGATAAATAATATACCATGAAAATATTTTACCGACTCAATTATTTATAACAAATCGGATCGGATTGTCATCAGATTGGATTGACCTATATCCATATTTGATACATTTAGTTAACGGATTATCAGATTCTGATCTTGATCGGGTTATCGGATTGAGATCCTAAATCCATCTCCCATTAATTTCGTCAGATTCGGATCGGGTTCGGATTAAATTCTAATCCATTGACAGCCCTACCAATATGCCCACATCCACTTCGACTTTATGAATCAATGAAGAGAATGTTTCTGGGCTCCTAATAAGCAAATAAGGGAAAAGTGGACAATTCCTTCTAAGCCATCACTGTGAGATAACACGCGCCATGGAAAGTCATGGAATCCACACACTCCATCACCTTGTCATCAAGCCCATTCAACTCGATCATTGTCCTTACTTATGTCTAGCTTAAGAGCCATAAAACCCGTTTGCGTGTTATTCCTCACACCCAAAAAGTGACGTAGCTCATATTGTTCGTGATTAATCTACCGAGGACGAATATGCTTTTTAGAGATAAATCTGGGTAAAAATATTCTTAAGCCGATTTGCTATCGTTTTTTAGTAATAAACTTGTACACCACATTACACAATGTGATGGACCTGTAGTCTACAGTGCAAAGAAGCATTCAACTTGCCCCCGGGGCACATCCTAACTAGCAAATGGCGGGGCTCTTAGTTGTTGACAGTTCAGAGGTCGCGAGTTTGACTCGTGAGGCTTTTGGAAGGCAGACTCTTTTTTGGAAGATAGAATTTATCCTAGAAGGCAAGGTGCAACATGTGTTGACTCGCTCTACACTTTGGCAGATCAGTGGAGGGGACTCTTGGACTCTGGCTAGTTTGGAGTACATCACGCGATTTTCCTGATCTGCGTTTTGAGGGGTCAAGGAGTAGACCTCGGAATTAGTCGTCGAAGGTGGACACTTGGGTATCAAAAAAAAGCATTCAACTTTGTTTATGAGAACCAATGAATCGGCCTCTTTAATTTCTATGGCTAATTAAATTCTTAGGGTGCGTTTCATTTGTAGTTTTCAAGCTATTCTAAGTTTTTATTTACAAAATACTCAAAATTTGTTTGGTCTGATTATTTTTAAAAATGAGTAATGTTAGTTAAATACCAGTCTATGTAGCAATTATATGATATTAAATGATATATTCATTTAAATACAAAGTTAAATGACTCATTTAATTCAACCTATAAAATGCAGTCACATAAATTGGTGTTCTAGCACTGCTGGTGTTAGATACTATTATTCTTTAAAAATGGATTTTCGAAAGGATGTTTAAACTTATAACATACTATTTTTTTTTTACATTTTGTGTGTTTTAATCATTTAAGCTCCTGATTGACTTTCTTTAAATCAAAATAAATTATTTTTTATACTCATTTTCAAGCACACATTCACGTAATAAAATATTTTACACATAAATTTAAAATATTTTCATATTTTTTAATCACATATTTTCCAAAAAATATATATATTTGAAAACATCATTTTCCTTAATTTCTTTTTATAATTGCCATCAAACATGGGCTAAATTAAAATAATAAATAATAAATAATAATAAATAGTTCAAAGTCTTAATAATTATTTACATAAAAATTCTAAAAAGTATATTTCACTGAACACACATAAAAAGTCTCAGTCCACGCCATTAATTTTAGATTTTTATTTCCTATGTTTCGCTAACTCAATTTATTATTTGTGTTTATTTTACTTTTGTAACGAAAAAAAACACTGTAAGATTCCTCAAATGTATATATTACTTGATAATATATCAACATAAAATTGTTCTATTTTACTGCATAATCAAATTTCATAAAATAAAACATCATAAAACAATTTCCCAAAATTTCAAATGAAACATTTTCTCTAATTGTCTATATTAAGAAATGATTTTTTGTAACGACAAATCAAGTTCATTTTTAACAATATGAAGCCCTTTTTGGGGCTCCATTAAAATTCTAAGACATTTTTTATTTTTTCTTTTTAACAACACATTTTTCTATAAAATAGTATTACACATAAACCCAAAACTTTTCGTTCATTTTTAACCACATTCTCTAAAAAAATACTATTGCAAAATATATTTTTCCCTAAAAGTTAATTTTAATGGAGCCCAAACAAGGGATAAAATAGACCCTCAAAAATAATACTGAAAATGAACTAAAAAATGAAAATTGAGAGCTGAAGAACAAACAAAACAAGCCCTTAACTTTTTATCTTTTTCAAATTAATATCAAAATTGTTTACCTCGAAATAAAATAAGATCCAACAAATCTCAACTACTGTTTCATCAAAGTGTATGTTACATGTACACTTGGACATCCGAGTTAGACTACACAGGACAATAGCATTGGAAGTTTGGAAGGGTGAGATGGTGGGCATTCTGATATCAAACCAGACAACAAATGACATATTTGGGTATGGATGAGATACAACGAACAAAAATGCTAGTGCAATTGAAAAAAGATTGCCAAGATTTCAATTCAATTTCTCATTATCTTTTAATGCTACCTAGATGTGACTATTTATAGTCAACAGATATGGGTCAAGATTCATTATATGCTTGATATTTGGTTTCATCCTAAGGACTCACTAATCAAGTTCCATTATGTTAATTGTGTCACTCTCTAGTTGTCATAGGCATGTGCCATCCTTAACCTAAATATAGGCTAAAAACTTGATTTTAAATGAGCGACCCCACTGCAAAATTGTCACATCAATAACTATGTGCAGCATACTCCGTGCAACTTGATCGATGCGAGACTTGCAGCAGATGTCAATCAACTTGAATATGCAGTGTAGTGGGGAGGTGATGCATCACATTGGATAATAGCTACTCCATGTGGGACGTTTAAGGATATGACATAATCGTCTTGGAGATAACATGCAAAAGAGGTGATGATTATAATGGTAATAATCTAAATGAATCAAGCATTCTCAAAGTGGCTAGCACAAGCAATCAATCAAGGACATGGCACAATCCCCTTGGAGACCGCATGCGACAAAGACAATAATTATAATGATAATAATCTAAGGGTGAGTTTGATTGTAAGGGTGGAAAATGGGTGGAAAAAAAAATGATTTCCAGGGAAAATAATTGTTTAGAAAATATTTTGTGGGGAATTGTTAATGAAGTGTGTTTGATTGGTATAATATTTCACCCGAAAATTTTTTAAATTTTCTATTCGTTTGGCTTTGTTTTATATGAAAACTGTCAATTAAAATGATAATTTTTTCCACAATTGGTTATAAAATTTGTTTCCATCGCCAAAAAGTAAAAAAAAAACTGAAAAAAATTGTTTCCTAAAAAATTATTTTTTTATCAAAGTTTAGTGTTCGTTTGACTTTATGTTACATGGAAATTGTCTATTAAAGTGAATTTTTTTTTTTTACCATTGATTATGACATTTGTTTCCACTGCCCAAAAAAATTTTAAAAAAAAAACGTGAATTGGAAAATAAATTCCTACCAAAAAGGTGGGAAAATCATTTCCTCCAAAACCAAAAAATCGGGCGCGTGAGGTTGTAGGGTGGAAAAAATTTTATCTAGAAAAAAAGTTATCAAACAAGTCATTTTGGATGGAAAATGAAAATTTTCATTTTCCATGAAAAATAAGGCCGGTCAAATACGGTCTAAATGAATCAAGCATTTTCAAATTGGCTAGCATAAGTAATCAATTGAACCTCTGTCATTACTTTAATGGCTCAATGTGATGACACCACGATCGGAATTATAGTTTTGCACAGGCCAGTTGCAAAGAATCAAACACAAACTTTATATTAATATACCCTTATAAAGACATCTTTTTGCCCAAAATTTTCCCCTGCTCAACTGTACTACATCTTGGAAAGGGGCCCTCATATTCTCTTAACTTTCACTTTAACCGGCACTGCCCCACTTTTCTGTCTTCTTGTCCTTAACCCTCCACTAATATTATGAACAATGCTAGATCGGTTGACAACACTTACAATACATTCACATTAGCGTGGGTCAATTAGTAGCCCACACCAACGTGAGCGTGTTGTAAGTCTAATCATTGTACAAGTAGCTATTTTGTTATTTTATTGACAGTTTTCGGTTTTCCTGTAGTTCCACTGCCTACTTTACCTGTGAAAAATAGGATTTTTTTGGGTTTTTGTTTGTGTGCAATTGGTGTAAGTATATTAGAGCGTGTATACATATTATAGGAAGTTGATATCTACTGCGAAGATGGAGGCTATAAAGAAGCAAGCGAGTAAATTGCGAGAACAAGTGGCCAAACAGCAGCAGGTAGATTTTATTCTATGGTCTATTCAAATAGTCTGTTTTAGTTTGTTTAAAATTTTTGGTTTTATTAGAAATTTCTGGGTTTGATTGTGTATAATTGATTCTGGTTTCAAGGTCGGGGGTTTATGTGAAAGATTTCTACGAAGGGGAGGTGGGCTTTATTTAATTATTTTGGGAACTTAAGTATTGTTGAAATTCTGCAGTTCACTGGATTTTCGAAAGGGTATTCTGGGTCTATACCACTGAAGAGTATTTTTAGCCCTTTCGGTAATTGATGCTTCCAGAGTTGTGGAATATAATAATTTCTATAAAATTCCAACAAGCGTGTATCTGAAATTGAAATTTATACTGAAGTAAAGAATGTATCTGGACTAATGATGGAGGCGCATTTAAAAATAGAAAGAACGAAGTAGGTGGTGATGAGATTACAGGACTCGAGGACTGACATATGTGATGAGTAAAGTGATCCGTTCTTGGACTTTGAAGTTGGAATAGCATTATTAGAAGTATATAATCGTTTGTTCTAAATTGTGATAGATAGAGATAATTATCTTATTTATTGCCCTGGATCATTTGATTTTAGGACAATACAGTTGTGATCTTTATAGATATATCGCATGCCATAGCAGCACAAAGCAGACACTATGCCAGTCACCTATTGAATCAAATCCATCTCAAACTTTTGGCTGATACTCCAACTCCAAAAGATGTGAGCTCTCCAGAATTATGTTTCTTTGTATCCTACTTGAGTGCATTTACCCTCTTGGTTACTCTTTTCCTCTGCATCCTTTTTTTCGAACATTGTTCTCCTCTACATGAAAAAAGAAGTGACCTGCCTCAGTGTAACTTTTATTTTTGTGGTTTCTTTCTTTCATGAACCTAAAAAGCAGAGGCTTCTATCCTTTCATAGGTGGGTGTTTGCTCTCCCTTCCATTTTTCTCTGGAAGTTGTACATTACTATTTATCAAGGACAGAAGATTGTCCGCCTTTCATATATTCTCCCCTGTTCTAAATTGTTTCCGCTCATCTGAACCAAGAAGTAAATCTTACAGTTATTTGCAACTGGAATTGGTAAGTGTAGTTTTCCATCAATGGTGGGTCAGGGATGGATGAAGTGAGCCCACAACCTCCTGCAAATGGTACTGAGAAGCCATTGATATTAGAAGCTTCATCTTTTTGAAATATTATGAACTGTAGATTGGCCTTAAGAATCCATATTTCTAGTTTATCTGCATCCGGTGTTGAACCTCATGTTTTCAAGATGTAATTGTCGCTGGATGATGCTACTTTTTTATTTTCTTTTTGACACCTTCTCCTCCCCCACCAAGGGACAAATTCTGGGATGAAGCCCAAATTTAAACATTTTTTTACTAATCTATGTGAGGCAACTGCTTTTCTCCCCGTTCCCCTCAAGCAATAATTCAGTGAATGACAAAGTAAACCTCTCTACCTAGGATGACATGTATAAAAGACAGATACCTTCTCTATATAACACATTTATTCAAAAAGTTGGTATTTATTAAATTGAAACATTATTGAAAAAATCAGAGTGCAATGCTTAAATAAATAAATAAATAGCTTGAGCTATCGCTATCAAGTCCTGCTGGTAAGCTTGGTCAATTGTAAATCTTATGGATGTTTTACTTTAGAGTTCTTTTTTAACTTTTCTTGGCCAAAACAGTTGCAATATGGATGATCTTTGAGCTTAAGGACTTTTAATTATGTGTGTCTTTGAAATCTAAACTCGAGGATAAGCCCCTTAAATTTTTTTTTTGACAACTGAGGATACTAAAAATAGAAAGTTATTGTTTGGTTAAAATTTCTTTTTTGACATAAGCTCTTTTGCAAGTTGAGATTCGTGAATCTGTGTCTAGTTCTCTCTGCATATGTTTGTCTTCGCTAAAATAAATTCAGGACGCTAAAACAGTAGTTATAGGCCCCAGCAGAGGTGGACTTTATGTGTACCTTCCCACATTGCCTAGTCCACATCTCTTTAGTCTTAAGTAATTATATGAATGGAATATGCCAATTTTGATGTTTAATGTTCGTGAACAGTATTTGCATCTTTGTTTTTATCTTAAGTAATCTCTGAATGGACTTCTTCAGTTATCATTGGTCACTTTCTGTTTATAATTCATTTTGAAGTTGCTTCTTATATAGTAAATAAACACTAAACAGAGAATGAACAACTCGTTTATCAAGAATGGAAGTGTTCTGTTGGTCTTGGCTTTTGATGTATTTCATTTGGAGAGGGATTAATGTTCCTTAATTGGCAGGCAATTTTGAGACAGCTGGGTCACTTGGGCCAGGAAGCGGTTATGATTGATGATGCTGGAATGCAGTGTCATCAACAACTTCAGAATTTATACAAATCTACCCGGGCAGCCAAGGTAAAATTCATGAGGTATACCTATTTTTATGTGATTTACTGTACTGTACTGTACTGGTTTCTGATTCTGGTTAATTCTCCTATACAACTTCATCTGCCACATATGAAGGAGCTTTTTATGTGAGAAAAGTCTTAAATTCTTAATGTTACACAGCATTTCCAGAAGGATATTGTTCGTGGGGTAGAAGGAGTTATTTCAACTGGCAAAAAACAAATGGAGATAGGTCTGTAAGATTTTTCCCCCTTTTCTAAAGTTTATTAAATGATGAGGCACATAGATGATAAAAATTTCAACTTGACTAGTGTAGCCAGAAAGTTGGCTGAAGATTGTTGCAAATATGGTATTGAGAATCAAGATGCTGATACTCCCCTTGCAAGGGCTGCCTCGGATTTTGGTACCTCACATGCGTCAATGGAAGATCAAAGAGAAACTTTGCTTGGGATACTTGGATATCAGGTAAAGCATTTTCTTATATTAGTACCATTCCAGCATATAGCCACTCCAATTCTGTGTTCTGTTCGTTACATCCCTTTCAAATCCTTCCTTGTTAATAATTGAACTAAATACAAAAGAATAAATTTTTGGGAAACCCAAAATCCTCTATAGTGACTCCACTATTATCTTTGTTCCTATTGTTATTAAAGCACACTCCATGTACTGTCTTAGTTTCGCTTAAACATTAACTTTTAGATAATAAAATAGTGACCAAAGTTCCAACTTCTGGTTGAAATCCTCCCGATCTATTCTACTAAAACTCTGTCATTTATGTTTAACATAAGGAATCCTATCTCAGGTATGACTGTAATCTCATTCATGAGTACAGCAAAAGACTAAGGCTGAGCCTTGATGCAAGCCTACACTGATAGGAAATTCTCTACTGCTTCCGCCACTCCATCCCACAGTCGTGATTGCTCCATCATAATTTTAGTTAATTATAATGATGTACATAGTAGAAATTCATTTTCTCTCTGACTCACCATATCACTTCTAGGCTTTTCCTAAATCAGTAGAAAACACGGTGGAAGTCGTTCGTTTTCTCTATTTCACCAATATCTAAACTGATATATGGCATCCATAATAGATCTCCCTGGCATAAAGCCAAGTAGATTCCACTATTACCTGTAAGCACAAAAATGTAATGTTGTTTACAGGTACATTATATTTAAGTTGAACCAAACTACCTCTCTTTTTTTTTGATAACTATGGATGTCAGGGTCAGCTTGCGCACACCTCGACTAATTTCACGGGACCCTAAAGTTTATGGTCGGATACTTACTTCAGTGACCCTAAGGAGATTCGAACTGGTGACCACTGGGGAGTAAACCCAAAACCTAACCAATTGAGCAACCCTTCAAGGTTGAAACAAAACTACCTCTCTGTAGCATCAATAGTGCTAGAGGTATGAAAAGATAGGATCTAGACCTCAATTACATACGGTGCTCCCTTTAAGAGCAAGAGAATAAGAAAAAAAATCCCAAGGACATGATTTCCTCTTTTTGTATCAAATATGATTCCTTAGTTATTATAAATATTGATTATCATTTGGTAGCTATTCTTCATATTCTCATGAATTAGGTTCAACCTGTTTATTGACTTTTAGGTTTCTGAGCCACTTCGCGCATCAATAAATGGTGCTCCTTTGGAAGATGCGCGTCAATTGACTCGCTGCTATGACAAAATGCAGCAGGAGTTTGAAATTCAGGTAATATACATTATTCAATGTAACGGGAATCACATCCAGGTGAACTTAATTATCCTGGAAATGGAATTGTTTTATCGCCGATTTACAAACCGTCATTCAGGCAGCTGAAGTGATAAGACGTCAATCTAAATCTAGAGAGTCTTCTGCCGAAAGTATCATGAAGTTGAAAAGTGCTGAAACAAAACTTTCTGAGCTCAAGTCTTCAATGTTGGCACTCGGGAGAGAAGCAACTGCTGCGATGTTGTCTGTAGAAGATCAACAACAGCATATAACTTTCCAAAAGCTTCTTACTACTGTATGGGTTCAAACATTTCACTTTTTTAAGTTGGCATGCCATGCACTGTCTTTTCTCCAAAAGGTTCCTTTTTATGTTTTTGTTATTACGGTTCTCGAAAATGGAATTTATGGAAAGCGCAGTGAGCAAGTGATGCTTATATGATGTTATACAATAGGTATTTTTTTTTCATTGAACAGAGTTAATTTTATTGTTTTACAGGCTGTTAGCATAATCAGTGATCTGTGACATTTAAGTCATTGTTTAAGAAATACTAAATAATATAAGATTTCCAGCGACAATGAATAATTTGAGTGTTAGGACTTAGGATGCATCATTCATCAATTTTATATCCTAGAATCTTCATTGACATGTGATGAAGTGAAGGATCTTTTTATTTATGACATGTAGACCAAATTGCACCCACTATTTCTTTTCTTTTTGACTCGTACCTACTGTTATTACCAAAAAAAATTCTGTGATATTTTCAGACTAGATTTTGAAATACTGTTTACATTTAATAAGACCATTTCTTTTGTTTGTTGTCTATAATGAAACTATTTTCTTTTCCCAAGAAGTTTACCGTGCAGATGTTTTGTCAATCTTCTTCCTCTGGAATTAAACATATCCTGTTTGGATGTTTCACTCTTTAATATCAAAAGATACCTTAGTTGATATTTCTTATGCTGATTTTGGTGATTGAGGTCAACTAGAACAAAGGCTAATATACATTATTAGTTGTCATTTTTTTCATTATCTATTTTCTATAATAATGTTTTTGTATAGAAAGTTGAAATTGAGCTAAGGTTTCTTTTCTGACTTGTGAATGGAAGAAAACTTCCTGTACTACATTTATAAAGAGGCTATGATAGTTCTCAAGCCCAAGATAGCTTTTTTGTAATAACTGGTATGTTATGAATCCTTATGCACCTAAGATCTGAAATATGGGGCATCTCTATTTTCTAGTGAAGTTTTGAACACGGGAGTGCATTATGTTTGGATTTTTGGACCTCTTCTCAATTAAGCCCCGTTTGGTATGGCTAAAAATCAGTTTTTTTAGTAGATTTTGATAAAAGTTGATGAAATATGAGGTTTAAAAGTTGATAAAAGTTGTGGATCCCGTAAAATGTGTGGTTGAATGAGTTTTAGAAAATTGGAGCCAAACTAGGGCTAAATATGTTGTATGTAAACAGATTTGGAATTCTTGCACCTTGATTAATTTATGAATGCTTCAGCAAATAGTTAGCACACCATCTGTTATGATACATACATATCTATATATATATATATATATTGTTTGATTAGATCTTGTTATTGTTTAACTTGTTTTGAATTCTCTCAATTTTGGAATCTTAAATGAATTTAATATTACAGGTAAATGCTGAGAGATCTTATCATCAAAATGTTGTTTCCATCTTGGAGAAGCTACACAGTGAGGTTTGTACACGTGCATTGTTTTTTGCACATATTCAATAAAACAGTTAAAGCCTTCCTAAAAGCTCCTAGTTGTGAAGTAGATAGAACATTCATTCCGCATTCAGCCGCTGCACTTTCTTCCCCTTTCAAGCAAAGATTATGATTGCAATTTTTATTGTTTATTGTTGGAGTTAGATGATTGCGGAGGAGCAGTTGAATGACTCTTCACCAAAATTAGAAATTCCGCGAAGAGAAGTTAATATTCCACGTGCAAATAAAGATACTGCTTCAAATGGATCCGGTAGTCAGGAAAATGAGGATAAAATTGATGCACTCTTCCTTGCAAAGGTCAATTTATTTTTATTTTTGTAGGGTCTATTTTACAAGGTAGTTTTTTTCCTCCCAATTTTTATATTTAATAATTCATATTTGCATTGGCAGGTTATACGCTCATTCGATGCCCAAGCTGATGGTGAGCTAACTCTTGAAGTTAATGACTATGTAGTGGTTCGCCAGGTACCTAATCCGCTGTTAGTTTAACTAGCACTTTAGTTTCATTAATTTGATTTATCTCTTCAAAGACTTTTTTGTACTACTACTTTAAATGGTGTGATATACTTCATTATCTGACTCCTTGATCAGAATAACATCTAAGAAATAGAAAGTTTTGTCCACTTTCACCACTGATTTTAGGATATACCTGTTCTCATTGTTATGTAAAGGAAGAAAACAATAGTGGCATGTCTCATAGAGAGGATTGGATAACGTTGAACGGTATTAATAATACCGAAGAAAAAGAAGTTAAATTTTTTTTCATTATGTTGTCAAGTCCCGTTGGATGAAGATAAGAACGAGGATCAAGCATTCGACTGACTGTTATATTTAATCACAGTTACTTTGTAGACATTAAGCTGAAGTGGTTGACCTTTCTCAAGTTTTAGTTTGATATCGTGTTTTAACTCTTGGGAAAAGTTTATGGCTCAGGTGTTTACTATTCCAAAATTAAAAATCAGGCTCAACAGTTTAAAATTACAAAAATCAGGTTTTTCTTAAGTTAATTAATTACATTTCATAATTATTATATTAAATTAAATATTTAACTGTAATATAATAAAATCACCGCACCGCACCCCACCTCACCCCACCTACACCACCACCATTGCTCCGGCTATTACTCCGGCGACCGGTGACTGCTCCGATCCGGCGGCTTTTTCGAGGTCACAGATCAAGAAATTTATAGGTCACGGGTAATTTCGAGGTCACAGATAAAAAAATTTGTAGATC